TGTAAAGATGTAATCTTGCACACCACATGGTTAAGAAGGGTGCTTATTTGTGCCTTGCACTTAGGACGTGTTTATTTTGACTTGCTTATACAACCTTGCACACACCATTTAAAATTGTGGAGGTTGGAATGGTTTAGGCTCAATGTGAGACAACTTTAGGCTTTGCACGCTTGGTGGTGGTGGTGAAGAATTGTGCAATAAACAGGTTTATTACAGGGTAGGTGATGACTTCCAGGCATATAGGGCGGTGAGTGTATCAGAAATACGCATGCTGAAGGGCGAGGATATCGCGCCAAGTGGTGGTGCGCTACGCAAGTCGGAGCCGCTGTTACCAATGTGTTATTTTGGGAAGTGGGCCACTGGGTGGGCGATACCTGAAGCACAATCGGCAGCTTGGCATTTATGTATTTGGCAGGGCTCTGCTCTCCATGACCGCAATAGTGACCTTCAACTTCCTGTAGGTTAGCGATGCATCCTCCTTACTAACATGGGTTATTAAAACCTCAGGGAGGACTGGGTATACTACGCTATACGCTTTAGGTATAAGGTAGCAGTTTGATATTTCATTTAAGCTGGTGGACATATGAGCCCTGTCGTATTGTACTTTCGATCTGAGACATGGTTCTAGGGCCATGGTTGTGGCCTTGCAACCTCCCTCACGTTAACAATATACATTCTTCCATAGTATCATGGGTTGTAACTACTTCAGGGTAGAGTTGGGACGCAGCACTAATGTAATACTTATGTTGTTTTAATGTGCCTTTCAGGGAGGAGGCAAGCAGGAAATTCGGGCCTTGTAACTGGATCGCCCTCTCCCTTACCTAGTGACTGCGGCCCCCCTCCTCCTTGAATATTGTATTTCCCCTATTCATCTTGCCGTCTTTAATAAAGATGTCCAAAGCAAACCAACCGGGCTTGTCTTGGAACGTCAGGGATCGGGAAGCGGAGGCCGAGGAGCCTCGCTCCACACTAATGTCGGCGAATTACTCACGTCGTTAGGATAGGAACTTCATTTCTCAAAATCTTTTTAGTACACACGATTATTTGCCAAAGTTTCAAATGCCTTAAATTTTACGCTTTAATCAAGATTTCTTGTGTTATTTCGTTGAATTTGTTTATTTTAATAAGGCCTGGTGGAGGTAGGTAGGAAGTGGTGCTATGTGACCTAGATGTGCAGTCGCACTACTTGCTTGGTTTACCGCTCTTCCTGCAACTGTTATTTTCTTCATAACTTAAGGCCATCGTCAGAATTCTACCTTGGCCTACAGAAAAGATGGCAGAGTTCGAAAGCAGCTGATGGGGAACGTTCGTCTTCGTGGGCTATTGAGCTTATAAGTAGCTGTTCTGAGTTAGAGCGGAAGCACTTGCATGCAGCTTTGGAAAGTTTATCGACAACAAAAGCTCCCACAAAAGATTTCAGCCCTATCTCATACAGTCAACTTCGTCTAGGTTTGTGCAATTTGTCAACTTTTACCTTCAGTCTTTTTGGCTAGCGCAACACCATTTATTGGATTTGGCTTCCTCGATAATTCGATAATGATAGCAGCGGTAGGCCTATTCTACCAAAAATATGTGATAGTATAGGGTGAATATGTTGACTTGACAATTGCAACTTTTTTCGGATTTTCAACCATGGCAGGTAAGTCATAATTCTTGTATGGTATATTTCAGTTAGCTGCTGGTATCGGGAACCTAATATCGGATCTATGCGGCTTAGGGTGAGTCTTAACCCCGTTGGGTATTGATTTAAGTATGTTGACTATTGATTAACAAAGTGCACATATAGTTGATGTGCTCTGCTTAATGTCTATTAGAACAAACTATTTTCTGTTGTTCACTATTCCAGTTTATTTAGTGAAGTATAGTGACTCTGTATCGGACATATTTTCTGTGGTATGGTATGTCCTTGAGGGGCTTTTATTTTATGGCGCCTTCACTACCATTATGCTGATTATAGTCCATGTATGGCTATTTCTTGAACTCCCAAAAACAATGAAACGGACTCTTTTTTATCATTTATTCCACCCAATTGTTTCACTAGCTGAAGTTGATATCAAAATTTTTGCTAATTTCTCTCAGACTCGTGGGCTATGTGGAACGTTACGCGACTCTCTTTGGTGTGAAAGCTCCCCCCTTGACTGAGTCTCAGATGAATTCCAAATCCTTGCGACGGTGCTCCAATTTGGTAACTTAACTACCTTGAGTAACAATTTTCTTGCACTTGTGTTATCTGATTTTTTTCCTCGAGCAAACGAGGAATTTTGTTTTGGCCAGAATTTTATGTAGTTACCTGTGCTGTTGACTGCGAATTTACAAAGTACTGGTAGATCCTATCAAATTGTCGAGGTCAACAACGGATTCCACTTCATTTTCTAACCTCACTTGCGGCGTTTTTGCTTTCCTTTCCCTCGCACTTTCTGTGCAAAAACTTGCCTTTGTGTGCGATTTTGCGCTGATTTTATCGTCTCATGACTTGCTTTTTACTCTGCATCGCGAGACGGTGAAATTCTGTTAAACATGCTATGCCAATACAGGCCAAATGAATGGGCTTAGACCACTTGAGGTGCTGAAATATAAAAGCATTTACTTTGCTTTTCTTAAACACCGAAAATTTTAACTTCGACTGTGTTACTTGCCCCCGGATGAGCTATTATTAATAGCGTGAAAAGGCAATTTACATAATTGGATTTTCTTAACAATTTCATTACCCCACTATTGTTTGAACTGAGTGCCTTGTTCAGTAATAAAATACTTATTCAGTGTTTGAGTCGCTGAATTTTTTTTACAAAATACGTGCATGTAGGTTGTAATAAGCGTCGAGAACCATAATTTTTTGTGCCTTTTGGTTGCCTCCACTAAACAGAGGAGTCAATGTGATTGCGTTTACTTTGAGGGTCGGATGTTCGGCATAACGGTGGGTTGTTTGGTCGGAATGCTCCCTCTCTTATTCTTCCCTTATGAAGAGGACGAAAAAGCGAAAGCCAAAGCAAAGGAAGGCGAAAAGGCCCTTAACTAGACTGGCGTCGCAACCAACTCCATCACCGTATCTACACAGGTCGGACCTAGTTCCTCGCCGATTCTTCCCCCTCCCCCTCTGGAATATACAATGGTGACTGCTTATGTGATAACTTTCGAATTTTCCCTTGTAAACATCTGTTTTGGCTTTTGAGGTCGCACTCAGTTGCGCTGTCAACAGCAAAATTGTTATAGTTCCCATTACTTCTATCTATACGACATTGTCCACTAATTTTAGCGGTATAACGAACTTTTTTGTTGAGCCTTTTTATTATTTCGCGATTACTTCCAGGTTCAATCTTGACCTTTTATTTATCATGAAATAAATTTGCATAAATTTACCAGATAGAATTTTTGGGAATATGGAATATTTAGCTGAAACGACAATTTACGTCTTGGAGCCGTGATCGGCACTCCCCCAGAACCAACTCAGTCCACCGTGGAAATACTGAGGCAACTTGCTGGACACACAAAGAGGGAATTAACCCTTGTGGTGAGCAGGTACTCCGCGCTGACCTAATTTCAAAGCAGGTCTTCGAGGGGAGAGAATTGTAGTGAGGGGCGCTAAGGCCTGGTAAACGCGCCTTCCCTATTTCTACCATAATGCATTTTCGTTTGAGTAGATTTTTTAGGTAGCAAGTGGACAGGGTGGATCGCTCTCGTGACCAAGGGCGCTCTGTTGATCACCAAGGCGACAAGTGCAGATTCCCCATGAAACTATGTACCAATCGTATGCCTCGTTCTATCATCCCTCGTTTCAGTGATACAAAACGTCCTCTACAACCCAATTTTCTCGACCCAGGGATCTGCAATCAGATAAACGACAAATATGTACTACTTCGAATGTTGGCATTCCCATCATTGTTTATCCTCAACAAAGCAAAGTTTTGGCATGAAGGTAGCGAAGAATAATTAAGATCAACACGTGCAGGCAAAATTTACCTCACTGGCTCCACAGGGTAACGCCCTTAATTGTCATTTTCCAAATTTAGAATCATGTAAATCGGCACCGCAGCTGCATAAAAAAATGTTTAAAACATAAAACCAACTTATTTACAGGATAGTATCCCCAGCAATTTATTTTAAAAAAAAAGTATGAAACCAGATCCTGCGAATAAATCAAGCACAAGCTGCCCTCACGGTGTGTACGCTAGAGACATGTTTTAGCACATATCTTGCAATTGGTCTGAGATCATGAATAATGTAACTAAAAGTCAACGAACTGATTGCCGCCCATTGTTCCTGAGGATTTCTGCTAAGTGGAGATGTGGGATCAAAAGGCAACAGCTGAACTTGAATGGGAAGTAGCATTCTTCAAACTAACTTTCCCTCCTCTGACCCCATCCATAATTCCATGAGCTAGTTCAGTAAAGTAAAAGGCAAGGAAACTTGATATTCCAGAAGGGACCCCGTGGGAAACTTATTTCTCTTTGAAAAGGAAGTAATACTTAGGCAGCCGGAGTGAATGGACCCTGACGTGAATCGAATACATGCGCCCTGCAAAAATGCTAATCCTTCTAAGTGAACATGTCTGAGATGTCGAGTTTATATTAAAACTTAGGTCAGATTTTCGAAAATAGCTTTGATCCTAACGCGGCGAAATGGTTACACGGCAGAACAGGGGGATGTCTTCACTTCTAAGAGCGAATATGGCAACCTCCTGGACGAGAGCTTGGCCCCATTCTAGTGGTGGTGGTGGTAGTATTTTATGGTCTTGTAGGCTGGCGAAACACCAACCCAAAGATCTGTGCAGCTAGTTTATGACCCAATGCAATCTGCTCACGAAATAGCAGGTAGGTCTAACTCCAGAGACCAGACACGCAACTGTATTTTCTCAGTTGACTACTAGCAATATACCCGGAAAACGACTCGAATGTTGGTAATAGTAGCATGTCTGATCAAACTACCGATTTCCTGATAAACACTCCTGGAGCGTTCGGTTTTCCAGAACCTTTTAGCTTGCTTTCCAACTAAAAGTGATAACGCTTTTCGACCGTCAAGTTCCACCGAATAAACTTTCTTTGTTGTTGTTTGTTGATACGATAACCAAAGAAAATTCAACAAAAAATATACTCCCGTGGAAGCTCGAAGTTCTTCGTTGTGACGCATTGGATGAACATGATTCTTGATTCTCTACATAACTTCAGTTTAAATAGCCATTGGAGTCTAGTTTACTTCGCATGGTAGACATGATATAACCATAAAATCGAGGGAATTAAATAATGGGATACTAGATTTGGTAACGATTTCTAACGCAAGGGAGGGAAAGCCGCGGTATAGCTTAGATAAGTGCATTTTTTTCAATGCAAAAAAGAGACAGATTAAGGATGATTATGTCGGTGGCGACAGGAGGGTGACAAGAGCAACTAGAATCAGATTTTGCTGCTTTGGTATATTATGCCAAGTAAAAAATGTCAATATACATAGTCACCATGGTAGAGAGGAAGGGAATGAGAGAGGAGAAAGACCGAAAAGAGGGCAGTCGAAATGTGGCACTAGTAGTGTCGGCAGAGGGACAGAGGTTCAATTTTAAAAGCGTGCAGGTCTGTCGGTGGCGACATGTGCACAGGGCTGGGTGGATGGAGAGGTGAAAGTCAATGACAGGATGGCTGTGTACCGTCTCACGAGAGAGGCGGAGGGAAGGGGAGAGGTCGAAGCGGGATTTGCGGAGTGGAGCACAGCCCTAGTGACCGCGGACACTGTGGGGCGTAGGATGGCGTTGGTGATGGTTGTTGCGGGACGTGGATGAGAAGGCGTGATGCACCACTGCGTCACTGCGATTCAGCACCTCGTGCACACTTAACTCCTGCAGGTTCGCACTACACCACACAGGGAGAGATAATAGACTGTGCAGAAGAAACGGAATGGGATCAACAAGCATCAGGCATAGTTCGAGAAATCGCAATTCATCCTTTTCAAGTTGGCGGTTTCTACCCAACTTTCATACGTGATAAAGGATACTAAGGAGAGAGCAAAGATAGATTGTAAAAAATTCTGCCAACAACCATTTCATTTTACAAATGAACATCCCCATTGTGCTATAGAAAGTTGGGATGTTTGACGTAAATAGCGTCTACAAAAACTTTATGACATTTTGCAATAGTCTCACATGCTAGACATTTATGGGGCACTAATCGAGAACTTTTGCAGCTTCTAGACGATTCCAAACGCAAAAAAGTGCTCACACAATATACTTAAAAGTAAGATTGCCACGAGGAGGGCAAAGTAAATCCCAACTAACTAGCTCAAAGCTTTTGCTTCGGTTAATGTGGCTAGGTCATTTTTGATCCCACAGTTGGTACCAACTCGCATTTGACCCTTGAAATGTAATTTTTGAAGGCCGCTACTGAGCAACAGCCTAGTGCACAAAAGTAACTGCATTACAAGGAAAATGTGAAGAGTTCTAGGAAGGTTGTGCGAAAGCAGAGTGCGAAACTTCGGCAATGTCGTGACCTATCTAACCATGTATGCACGTATGTAACGCTTCGATAGTTTAGTTAACTGAACTTTTGATTACAGAGGGAATTAAGCCTCCCTAGTTTGTTTTTGCCAGGTGACATGGCCTCTGGGGTATACCAGTGGCCACTCACCCTTTCTGTATATCAGTAATGAACGTTCGCCCACGCTGCTGTGGCTTTTTACCACTTCAGAGAATGCTCGAGGCGCTACATATTGCAATCATGGTATCAACTAAAGTATATCTTATCAGGTAGTTAATGGTGCAAATCCTCACAAATCGGCACGAATGGAAACCCTAAGGGAGGTAACGCCATTTACTGGCAGAAATGCAACATTATTCCACCGAAGGGTGACATTCGATAGATTACGCGGAATTAATATTACGAAAAACGAGGGGAAATTAATCACCTCGATAGGGCCTCACATGGTCCACATTTCAAACAGAATAAAACCTTGTAAGGTATTTCTAAAAAAAGAAGGCAAGAAAAACAACAACAAGAAATTAATTCTAACAATGGCAAAACGACAACAAAAGCATGATAACTAGCGCACTGATGCTGTTGGAAAAATGCGAGTGAGATGTCTCGTTTGAGAGCTAAAGAATAGTCAGTAGTAAGAATTTCAACACTTTGCCAAGCATTTGTTTTAGCAGTAGGCTAGTGCGGCTTAGACATCAAGAAATACAAGGTTTTCTACTTTTTGCAACGAAGAGAAGAGAACGGAATAATTTAGCGTACAACAATGACCCGATGCCCACATTCCGTGCATCCAAGGGCAAATGTGCCCGGGGTGGTCGAGGGTGCTTGAACGTGCAAAGGGACGTGCAAACAGATAGCAAGCCCGGCACACACACACACACACACACAAATGTCCACACAAAACTCACTCACATTTAGGCAATGAGTCTTCGCTAGTCGTCCTGAAAGTAGAGACAAATGTGGTACCAGCGACTGGACAGAAGAAAGACAAGGTAACCGAAGTTTGTTTAATTTCGCACAATAAATGAAAAAAAGCGTCTTAAACTACGCTATTCGGTGGTCTAATCACCATCACAAGTCGTAATCCGTTCTTCAACAGGATACAGGTTTGAGTCCCGCTTTTACAAAGCTCTTTGTCTCTAGCGGCAAACAACTTAATCGCAGTCTCACTTCTGTTTCTCAACTATCAAGTGTATTTCATACGTGTTCAAGGGTAACTACCATCTCATGGAGAAATACCGCAGAAATACGTAAAAATGGGCGTAAGAATGAGGCAGCATTGCTTTCGCATCCTAGTGTTGTTACTGAAGAAGAAAAAAAGAGGAAGTTTCCCTTGCACACGCTCGGGTTGCATCAAGTAACTAGGTCTCAGATGTAATTGCTTGGTCTTCAGTTAGCAAACCGTTTCGTCTGCGATCTACTATACATAAAGCATAGACTTATGGAGATGAGGTGGTGTCTTGGAGGTGGGAGATGAATGACGGATCGCTTAAGAGAAACCAATGCAGTGCTTTTCGCTTAATATC